TAGAAATATGTATCACGTGGCTTGTTTGCTCGCTTTCATGATGGATATCTTAATGAAGTCTCACAGTTTATTGTGTACTTTGTAAATGACTAGCTGCAGTCTATTTTTAGAACATCGTTCATCAAATAGGTAGCCAGAGTTTGGTTGAAGTGATTTGATTCAACTCTCTTAGCTGAAGAGCTTTTAGCAGACCACAGATAAGTTAAGTCAGTTACAAATGAGACGGTCATCTAGTCTTTAAATCATCTCCATATTTTCAAGCAAGCACTTCTAGCTGGTTTGACTGGTATCAGAGTATGTATATACTAATCAATATACATAAATACTTATTTATGTTGTATAGCGGAAGTGCAACTGTATAACATAACTAGATATTACAAGCTCCTCATATTATTAAACATACACTGTTCGTATATATTCGAAAATCATTTCTGATTAAACTACAATAAAAGCCAATGACAAACTGTGATTGATTAGTGTTAAAATTATTACATGAATCATAATTAAGCGAATGACATGAGTAATAATAGATTCACGACAAAAAAAGGTGTTGATAAAGATACTTATGCACTTATAAAACTTCTAACATTCAATCATTCTAATCCTCTAACCCCCTCCGTGTTGATTACTCGTCGTTTTAATTTGTACAAAATGAAGACAAAACGTTTTGTTGAAACACTCATCAGAAAATAAATGATCCATCATTCTGTATTTGTCAGTTAACCTTCTTTTTAACAAAAAATGTTTGTTCAGAATCGAAGAAGAGCTTCCTTCTTTATTTCTTCCACTTCTGTTGTTTGTTTTTACCTCGCCCACCAAAAAACAGCAAAACAAAAGAAATTCTAGAAAAAATAAACAAACAAAATGACGAAACAATGACTCCTGTCTGTTGATTATTCCGCGAATTAATTAATTTCAGTATTAAAGTAGTAGATTAAAACAAAAAAATAAAAGCAACAATAATTGAATGTTGACATTGAACACATACATTCACAAACGCCTACACAGATGCACACACTGTAATTTTTAATGTGTCAATTAATTTCTTTCTGGAAATAATAATAACCATAATCTGTCATGGTGGATTATTGATGCATTTCACACTTGGTTTGATCTCGGCATTCATTCGCCTCAGAATGCAGCTAACGATGCAAATGACCACTGGGTTTGATGACTACTGATTTCAGTTGAAGAATAAACCCTATGAAGTTATGAAATGTTAATATATGTCTAATCTAACCATGGTAGGAATAATACTAAATAAAGATATTTTGCGTAAATAATTTACTCGGAGAAATTTCATTTTTTTTCGGGAGGGGAATAAATAGTTATTTTTTGGTAGATGAATAATATGTGTGATTAATGATGTATCCTGCTGTAGGTTTATAATCCATTATCTTGTGCACGCACACACACATAAATATAAACACTAAGGCAGGGGTTTCGCCGTCTAATAATCCACTTCATATTTGCTTTATCCCACCCATCTAACCATCTATCTATCTATTTATCTACTGGTTTTCTTCTGTGTGCTTGAATTTTCATCTCACACTGTCTAATCCCTCATTAATTGGTTCTCAACACACCATGGGGAGTCTGTATTTATTATTACATCAGAAGAATAAACACAATATGTACACATGTCATGAATTAAAAAAAGAAAACTTTCTCACTTTCACACAACAAAAATTGGTCAACACCAACATCATTATGCTTCTTCTTCCTCGTATCCCTCTTTCTAGGGTCCTTATGCACTTACACATCTCCCCCTCAATTCTTTTCTTTTAAATAATAAACGAAGATAGTAATGATAATAATAATAATAATAAAGGCAAAATAATTGCGTAGACTTCAAAAGTGTCTATATATTTTTTTTCTTTTAAAAAAACGTAAGGAAAACAGTAGTGTTGTGATGAATGTTATTGTATTTAACAAGCAAAGAAAATTTCGTCTACAACATGTGATTTACCCTTAAGGCATTTGAAATGTTTAAACTGTTATCTATTGTGTTTTCAAAACAGAAGTTGAACGTCAACAAGAAGGAGAAGAGGGAGCAAAAGTGAAGAGAAATTCATTGAGTTCAATGAATCCCAAACATAAATTCTCTAACTCTTTTTCTACACACATGTACATGCACAACACACGGATGAACATGACTCAAACCTAAAGCTTTGTAAAAGTGCTTCTAGTGTCTGATATAATAGACAGAGAGAGAGAGAGAGAGCGAAGAAACCTATGGCGACACTAAGAAGGATTATGTTTGTAAAAATGATCACAGCACATGTAAGCCAGTGGTACATGATTACTAGTAGGAGTCTTGTTTTCTTGGCTCCTGTTGTTTATATTCGACAGTTTGACGCTTTGTAAATAATGTGAAAATATGTACATAAATAAATAAATATGTATCCTTGTTGATTAGACTGCAGTCACGTGAAGTTTATTACGGATTCAAATAGAATCAATAAAAACCTAATCTGTTTGGTTACAGGATTTCATCATGAGCTGACATTGGTTAGAGAACCATTGGAAAACCTGGGAGTACTGGACAGCTGTTTCGTCCTAGTCTGGGACTCTTCGGCAGTACGCACCCACCAGGGTTCGAACCCAGGACCTTCTGGTTACAAGGCTAGCGAGCTCGTAGACCATTAAGTCACTGGGACCCGATCCAATGGCCCATGAATTCTAACTTCTGCCAATTCACGATATAGCGCAACCGCTAGCCAATGTCTTCGGTGAGTATTTGTCCTCACACCCGACCTGCTGCACACTACTGGTCACGACTTCCCACTGGAATCCCAGGTAACTACCTACCTGAATAGGGCCAGTCGTCAGTGAGCATCTCATTGATATTCAAGTATTGGTTTTATAACTGAATATTACAGCACGAATACCGGAATACAATATACACTGTTCAAGATATTAGACTATTATCCGTTAAATTGTTAAGATATAATAGTCACTAACCTGATACTAGAGCTTACTAACTCATGTTTAATAGGATCATTGTGAACGTCCTATGGACATCTGATTACATGGGGAGTTAATCCGAAAATATCAGATTTTCAAGTAAGCACTGTATTATTCAATAAGTACATTTAAATCTATTGACTGGCGAATTCCAACCCCTTTTAATTCACTATGTAAAACAATCGATGTCTTAGGCTTGGTCTTTTGTAAGACAGTATCTATTCATAGGAAATCAGTTCCACTTAGGGGAGAAATAGGTCCACGGCGAATTGAAGTTTTTAGTGCTTCTCTAAATAACGCCAGTTTGCAACGGTAACTACATTATTATTATTATCATAATGTTTATTGGATATCATACACAGTGAAACATTATTATTTACTGGATTACTTTTTGAACATAATTTATTGTTCATAATCTGATATAACAAGGTGGATAGACACATTGATAATTGAAGCTTTATTTATCAAATAAGCTGAAAATACATGCAGTAGGAGTAATTCACTACTTGTCCCTGACATCCAGAAAATTCTACAACCCTTCCAAGAAATGAGAAAGATTGATGAGAAATATAAAGTGAGTTTCAGAATGGTGTATTTACAAATTGTGTTTGAAATGTTATGCAGTAAATAATACTGTTTCACGAAAAGCATTTACAACAGGCTACAAACTTTTATCAACAACTGCCTTTTCTCCATGCTCAACATCACATGGCCAGAAAGGAATAGCAAGAAGAAACTCTGAAAGAACCTACTGCTAAGCATATATTTCAAAGAAAATGGAGATGGATTAAACGCGTGCTGAGGAGACCTTCAGGTAATATGGCACTCCAGGCCTTTGAGTGGAACCAGAAAGGGAAATGACGAGTTGAGCATGACTTGGAGGAGATCGTGTGAGGAGAAGATGAGAGTATATGGGCAATTGTTGGGCCAGCTGGAGAGGACTGTAGAAAACAGGACAAAATGCAGATGTGCTGCTGAAGCCCTATGTTCCACTTGGAGACAAAGGGAATACTAATACCATTACTGTTTGAAATACCTATTAAACAAATTATTATGGATTTATGTACTACCACAGTGCCCAAATATAAGTTTGTCAGTAGAAGATAACTAGAGATAAATAAACTCTCTTATAGTACTGTTTAGATTAGGAAGAAAATAAAAGGTATCACTGAAACATTTGAAATCACAGATAGCAACTGAACAGGATAGATTAAGTCATCCTATGTGTCTTTTTTTCCTAATATTTCACTTTGGTCAGAGAATAATGCCATGTCTCACTTCGTTTGTCGTTCACATTCACAGACACTGAACTCTTTGATGGTTCTTAGTTGTCTGACAGTCTGTGCGTCGGCGGCACAGCGGTTAGGACTGTCGCCGACCATGCACATAGTCCGAAGTTCCATCCCCGGCCTGATATCAATGGTCGGCCTGCAAATTTGGGCTACCGATATCACATGCTGAAAATTTCAAACTTATGCCGAAATACTGTGTGGAATCAAGCTGTAATAAAATTAATTAGAAAAAACATTATATAGTATGACTGATCGTTACATAACCCACCTTCATGAAGGTTGATCAACTCTTATCTCTTACTCTGTAATTTTCAAATGACCAATTTGATTCAATGTAATACGAGTTCACTTCATTGGCTAACCAGAATTCCAGTGGTTTCAACTCCTCATAGGGCTATCTGAACTAAGTCACTGCCGGTAGGTCGTCTAGGTTTTTATGTCGCTTCACTCAGGCTAGTAAGCACTACTGTTTGACGTGACTGGTTTCAAACTACTCATATCACTCAATGGTATATGCTATCAGAACACAGAAACTTCTTAAATACGCAAATGTTGGAGATTAACAAAACAAAATATAAACTTTATCAAATATTTTATCATTTAAGAAATACTGATTTCATTCTCATTAATCAACTTTTGAATTCATAAGGAAAAGTAAAAAATATTTGTTATAATTTCTAGTTGACCACAAATTTCTTTGATTACAGTGTTGTTCATCCCTTCTTCTCCTTCCTTTTACAGACTTTTTGGACCAATCAAACCGACACCGGTATGTACACACTGTAAACAATTAATCAATCCAAATGAATTAGTCCTAAGATCAATAAATCAATTATTATTTCATTCAGAATGTTTTTCATGTAATATATGCCATCGTATATTAAAATGTGGTGATCGATATGAATTAAATATAATCAATAATCAACCAATATGTTGGGAACACTGTCACCGTAACCTTCATCATCATCATCACCAACATACCAATCAGTCATTTCAGCCTTTTCCTCATCATGTATGGAGTCCGTTAACAGCTACCCATAATAATAGTAATAGTGAACAAATTATCAGTTCAACGCATGGATACGAAGATGAAAATAATTTAAAAACAAATACTCATCAAGATGAAATATCATTCAAAGGAATCAACAATCAGCCACTTTGTTCAACTGATGAAAATAATCATGCAAAGTTATTTAATGTTGGCCAAGTTACCTCAAGCAGGAGTGTTGATCAGGATGTTGACGAATTACCGAAAAATGCTGTTTTCCAAATGGAACCACATGAAAACAATAATAATAAGTCTAATTTTGTTGAAAGTAGTATGGAAAAACCAAAGGCAGCAGTCAGTAGTATCGCTGATAAACAGGAGTATAAAAGTGAGACAAGTAAAATAAATCCATATTTCATTCCACTAATCAATAAAAATAATTCATTAATCGATTCACCGTCTAACGATTCATCCTTCATTCAGACAAATAAATCTTCGAATGTACCATTTCATTATTTGCCTCCATTGTTACGTCATTCATCACCCAACAGTTTGCCATTTATCCCATTCAATCCATTGTGCAAATTAGAAAATAATCCTTTAGGAATGGGGTTACCAATGCCTTCTTCACCCCTGTGTCCCTCTTATCCTTCCTCATTAACATCCTCCTCAACAACGTTGTCAACTTTTCCTTCTACAACAGCTAGTTTGTCATTTACATCAGGAGGTATACCTCATTTTACAAATATTACTACAACAACAACAACAACACCAGAGACAACATCACTACTGCTTCCCCCACCCCCAATTCCACTATCCACATCATCATCATTATCATTGTCACCACCATCATCGTCATCTGGAATGAGATTCATGACAAAACATTTCGATATTTCCCCACTGAATTATTCATCATTACTATCTTCAAATCATTCTTCATCAATTATTGATTTTATTGATTCAAAGAATTCTTTATCACATGGCAATCCTACTGATTCAACATCACTGTTAATTCAACAAGTACAACAGAAAAGAAATCGTAAACGTCGAAATGGTATCAACCAAGTATTCGGTAAGAGAAATTTTCTTTCCTTTTACGGCTAACCACTTTTTTATAATTCAAGTGTTGGTTTGTAGGGTTTTTATTGGTTACAGGATTTTCATCATGATCTGACATTAGTTAGAGAACCACTGGAAATCCTGGGAGTACTGGACAGCTGTTTCATCATAGTTTGGGACTCTTCATCAGTACGCACCCACCGGGATTCGAACCCAGGACCTCCTGGTTACAAGGCGAGCTAGCTCGTAGACCGTTAAGCCACTGGGACCCGATCCAATGGCCAGTCCATGAATTCTAACTTCTGCCAATTCACGACATAGCGTGACCGCTAGCCAATGTCTTCGGCGAGTATTTGTCCTTACACCCGACGTGCTGCACCCTACTGGTCACGACTTCTCACTAGAACCCCAGGTAACTACCTACCTGAATAGGACATTGAATGGTAACTGTGAACTATGTCAAAAACATCTGCGGTGAATCGAAACCAGACCTCCAGCCAGTAGTAAGTTTGGAATAGAGAGAAGGTTGTACATGAGGTCAGCAACACCAACGCTACTGAGACTTTAAAACCCTGAAGCCCTATGTTCCACTCGGAACTCGAAGGAATGAAGAAAAAGCAAAACCCAAGACTATCATGGATATCCTCACAATCAGTGACACCATATTTAAACTATAATTGTGACAGGTGTTTCGAAACATTTTCAGCACCGAGTCCAACTAAACCTTACCAGATAGTTTAGTATTATTCCAGCGTGTTTAAAAAGGATAAAACAAGATAAGTTCCAATGTTTCAATGTGTTTAAGAAATGAGAAATTAGTGTATTCAAACAGAACAAGAAGTAAAAGGGTTATGTGTGAAGGACATTGGGTGGATATTTTGACTCTTAATATCAATCCAAGTATTTCTGCTGAATTTTTTAAAAGTTAAATATTTTGGAAATTGTATTTCAGATAATGCATCTACGAAGGAGTTCAATGATTATTTGTATTTTATATCTTGAAGTAGGAGTTACATAACATTACTATAGGGAGAACTGCACAACAATGTCATCTGGAAGAAAGATATGCCTCAGAGTCCTCCTTTAACATAGAGTCACAATAACTTATGATTGTGAATATAAATTTCAGATCTTCTGCTAAACACGTGTATTATTATTATTAATGTTCCCTTGGATTCCTAGTGGAACATAGGGCTTCAACTACACGTCTCCACTTGCTTCTGTCTTCTGCTGTACTTTTCACTTGCATCCATGTTAGTCCATACTGTTTCAACTCCTCTTCACACGATCTCCTCCATGTCACCCTTGCACCGACGAACCACTCGCCGCTTCCCTTTCGGGTTCCACTCGAGCATTGGCCTGACGCGCAATGTCACCCAACGGCCTCCTCAGCGAGTGTCCAATCCATCTCCACTTTCTCCTGCATATTTGTTGGGTGATTGATTCTTGTTTTGTTTGTTCCCATAGTTTCTTGTTGGTGATTCTTTCCGGCCATCTGATCTTCAGTATAGAGCGAAGACAGTTGTTGATAAAGGTCTGCAACAGGCTGTTGGAAATATTCTTTGTGACCCGCCAAGTTTCTCATCCATCCGTATAGAAGAACTGACTGACTTGACGTTTGTATTGAAAAACCGAATTTTGTTGTTGATGTTGAGTTGAGTGACGAAGATTTCCAGATTGGTTTCAGGTTGATGAATGTGTTTCTCGCCTTCCCGATTCTCGATTTGACATCCTCGTCCGTTCCTCCTGTAGTTGAGACAATGCTCCCTTGACAAGTGAATGAAGTAACCTCTTTCAAATCCCTCCCGCTGATGGTGATTGGCGCTGGATTTAGCTGCTGCTGTTGTTGCTGGTTGGTTATTTTCATAACCTCCATCTTGTCTATGTTCACCTGGAGTCTTGTCTTTACTGCTTCTTCGACCAGTTTGTCAGTTTTCGCTTGTGAGTCTTCGATTTTCTGTGACATCAAACATAAGTCGTCCGCGAAAGCCAGGTATTCTAGGCTCTTCACGTCAGTCTAGGATACCCCTGTCTTGCCGTTTCCCACTGTCTGACGCATAATCCAGTCCACCGTAATTAGGAATATCATTGGTGATAATAAGCACCATTATCTGACTCCTGTGTTTACTCCAAACGCCTCAATAAACACGTGTAGAAATCCTTAATTTAGAATGGCCGTTCTCATTCAACTAGCATGTGTCTTTCCTTTTTCACATTCCGATTAATGGAACACATTTAACAGGTGATGTTATTAAAGCCAAACTAAGTTGGTAACAGTACACTGGACAAACTCTGAAACTGTAAAAGAAGTGTGCTTATTTTATCATGGATTCGAACATGCATCGTTCACTTTTGGATTAGAAAACGTGACATATGACCTATTTAGGTTGACAACGGGGTCTTGTAGAAGCTACCTGTCCTCTTAGCCCTTAGTTCAGACATTCAAATAGTTTAATGAACAAATCGTCTCTCCTGACTAGTAGAGCTTTGTCAGCATTCAGTTTTAAGGCACTACAAATTGGCACGACTTCACAAACTCAGTTTAATAAAGAAGCGATTAGGTGTGATGATCATAATGTAGGGTAAATAAACCAAATATATAGTACTCTCAACAAGATATCTAACAACCTGGTAGTTCAAGTGTCGTCTTAGCCTGATTAAACGATTCTATTTTAAAGTTAGATTATCACTGAACGATGTTCTCTGCTTCTATATTCCTCTTTTTTTTTTTAAAATAATAATTGTCATAATTACGTTTTGTTTTCCCTGTGTATACATATAGACAACGATTGTTTTAATGCCAGTGGCAATTTCTGTCTTGGAATAAATGCTAGACAAAAACGCATGCGTACATCATTCAAGCATCATCAACTGAGAACAATGAAAGCCTATTTCAATATGAATCATAATCCTGATGTTAAAGACTTGAAAGTGTTGACAGAGAAGACAGGATTATCAAAACGTGTTTTGCAAGTAAGTTCTTTTTGTTTTCACAGTAATACTTTATTGTTTGCCTATCCCTCAGTTTTCAATGACTTGGATATTGATCCACGTAGTCTTCAATAGGAAACATTACTAAATGAAGAAATATCGAAGATTTTGAAATTGCAGACGGTACTTTTTTGGCACAATATGAAACTGGTTTCTTCTATAGCGCAGAAAAATGCAAGAGACTAAAGTTTATTTTATCTACTATAACTACTGGACATACGACCCAATTACGACTATTCAAAAGAACTAATGAAATAACTCATACATTCACTAAAATTACATTTGAAAATGCAAGTGTGTTTCATGGGGAGTAACACTGTCATCTTTCTACAAAGCAAGTTCATTTGAAAAGTCTGGAATAGAGCGAAACACAAATTTTGAATTACGCGGCTAATCACTGGTTAAAACTTATAAACAGGAAATATCTAGTAAAGGATTATAGCAACAAACTAAAATTAGTGTTCATGAAGTACACATTTCCCGTTTTAGTGTGATGTTGTAAGACGTCGGATTCGAACTGACAAAAAAGAGGTCAAACTAAACCAAGTTATTCGATGAGTTTTACTTGTTACCAAGTGACCAACTAAATCTGTTATTTACTTCCAGAGAATTATTTACTGCACATTACTACATTTTGATTACAGCTTGATTCCACACCGTATTTTTGGTACAGGTATGGAATTTTCAGCATGTGATATCGGTAGCCCAAATTTTTCAGACCGACCATAGATATCAGGTGTGCGTCGGCAGGGGATCAAACCCCGGACGATGTGCATGGTCGGCGAGAGTCCTAACCACTGTGCCACCGACGCATATCAGCTGACAGTAGACATTTTATACTAATTATCATTCATATGACATACCGTTTGTGGACGATAATCAAGGGGAAATGATGACGACGGAAAAAGTTTAAAGTTGTCTGAATAGACCTTTTAATCTACATATTATGCAATCTCTTAAGTATGAAATAAACTTTTATAATGGATGTTGATGATGTCGCGTCACCGGCCCAGTGATAGAATGCTCGTCATTCACACTGGAGGTTCAGACTCGATTCTACTTATAGACACTTAATCCTTGCCTAGTTTACTAGCTGGCAGTTAGTCCACAAAATAGAGGAGTTCCGGTGTGGGGCTAAAAACTAGCACTACCGCTTTTGAAACTTCATAGCCTGAGGCCCTATCTTCCACTTGAAGTACAAGAAAGAAAAAGGGTGACAACTGAAAGTGAAATGAAAATCTGGGCCACCGCAGAATTCAAGCCAGCGATTTCCTAGGCTTATTAGATTGTTGAGCGGCGAGACTCAACTGCTTACGTGGTCACTACTTCATTAGTATTTTTAAAGAAATGTTACACCACTTCATAAACCTCAACAACAAACTAATAAAACTTAATCCTCTTACTTTATATTACTGATTGTGTGAGTAAAGTCAGTAAAGCTATTGGCAGTTTTATAGCTTAAATAGCATATATATATAAGCTATTCAATTTGCAAATAATAGTGTTCTCTGAGCTGGTTCATCTATTTGTGGAGCTTTCGTCGTCCTTCTGGACAACATCTTTAGCGCAAATTTTAACATAAAGTGAACTGATTTAAATTTTCCATGAGTGATAGAATTCCGTCTCCCGGTAACCATCTTTACATATGTATTGATCATTTTCTATTGACTTGGATTTTAAACTTTCTGTTCACAAGATTAATTTTTATTAGTTGGTATATTTGGTCTATATTAACATGTTTGTTAATCGCTGGTTCGCTTGAGTACCAGGCTTCTAGGAATTCCCTGGCACTTTTGGTGTTTCCTCTGTCTAAGATTTTGACATTATCCCAATCAAACTGATGTCCATAATTATCTATATGCATTGATATGAAAGAATATATATCATGTCTTTTCACAGCTGATTTGTGTTCCTGGATTCTGATTCAAAGGGGACGTCCACTTTGGCGGATGTAATGTCTGTTACAATTCATACAATTTATTTTGTAAATGTTATTAATTTTATCTCCCTTTCCTGTTGGATCTTTTGGTTTGCACAATATTGAATTAAGTAATTTAACTGGCTTGTGTGCTATATCTATTTCAAACGGTTTCAGTATTCCAGTTGTTATTTCAGAGATATTTTTCATGTATGGTGGGATGAATTCTCTTGTAGTCTTTGATGATGATTTCTGCCGGTGTAGTGATTCGATTCTAAACACTTTTTGATGAAATTTTGTGGATATCCATTCTTTTTGAAGACCGTTAATAGGTATTTTTCATCCATTCTTTTCAACGCTGGAGTGCCACAGTGTGTTTGAACTCTTTTAAACAATGTCTGCACACAGTTTCGTTTGTGATTAATTGGATTATTGTTAGTATCGTTGAGTATTTGGTCTGTGTGTGCGTTGATTTTCTATAAACTCGTGTTTCTAAATTTCCTGTGTTGGTTCTCCTGATTAAGACATCTAAAAATGGGATTTTGTTATCTAACTCTTCTTCTCTCATGAATTTGATGTCTTCAAATCATCCACCTTAGCTACAAATCTTCTCTATTATTTCAAAAGCTATTCATTTTTGATAAGATTAACTGAGCTGGTGTCATTTTCATCTCAGTGTACAAAAGTTAACGATCATGCTTAATCCTTCACTCGACGGTGCTGTGTTTAAATAAATATTACTTGGCGAAGATTCTAAAGCTCTTCGTCTTCTGCCTGTTGGTGATATTTATTTTTCCGGCATAATTCGCCACTTGAAATTAACACAGAAAGCGACAATTAATTTCTAATTAATTTTTGATTTGTAGTTAGATTCAACAAACTTGAGTACATTTCGTCTACAGGGAATTGGTGAACACATCTTAGCTATGTAACTTCATGTTTGAAAACTGGAATCAGATGAAATAAAACCCCTAGAAACGAATGCTGCACTTGTTAATAGTACTCATCAATCTCACGCAGAAGAACTGCATCAGTACGTTTTAAAATGAAGTTCGAACCGTTTCGCTGGTTTATTTTCCTTGATATGATACTATAAAATGTTTATCTATGTGATAGGTTGTTTTTAGAACCCTTAAATTAATCTGACTGAGAGACGTCCAGTTGATTTAGGTTTTAGAATATAAAAGAATACTTATATAATAACAGAAGACAAGGGCCAGGCAATAGATCGTTTATTAAAGAAAATCAACACTGATTTATAGATTTTAATGTACATTATTGTTAGTAGAAAATACAGTCTTTTGATTGGTTGTTTCTCACAGAAAGTTAACCTTGCATCTCTTTGTGGCTGTGTCAGATCATCCATATGCTAACTGGATCCGCCTACGCAAAGCCTTTGTTCTCATCATTTTCTCACCACCAATATTTGGGACACAAACATTGACGTCAATTACTGTCTACCAACTTTGGCTAGCAGCCAGCTCTCACCACACTTACCTTTTATTTATAAAAATATGTGAAGCCGATATTTATATACTTCTGTTTTTTTATTTGTGCTCCATCTTAGGTTTGGTTTCAAAATGCTCGCGCAAAATACCGACGTAATTTAGTTCGTCAAGAGACACCAACATCTGTAAATAGTAGTGGGAACAATAACAACAACAACAATAACAATAATCATACTCACAGCAAGACAAACAATCTAATGTCTTCGTCCAACGGTGGTTCGTCTTCAGAAATGCTTGTCAATTCAATATCAGAATGTGACAGTCAGTCTAGTCATATTAATCAAGATGAATATACTACTACTGCTACTACTGTTAGTCAGACAACACCATCTTCAGCGTCTCCGCATAAAAATGATCTGATTCAAGATGATGATCGTGATGATGATGATGATGACGGTGTTGTGGATGATGATGAGGATGATGGAGACGAAGTCGAATACGAAGACGACGGTGGTGGTTATGAAAACGATGGCGACTGTGATGATGATATGGGATATGACGCAGAAAATGTCAAAGGGGATGATAACGATGATAATACATATCACTGACAATGAAGGAAGAAATAATGAAAGCAAAGAGAATGATAAATATGAATGTCTACACAATGATAATCCTTATTGCAAGAATGATGAACAATCCAATAAATTTGACTTGTTCACCTGTAGAGATAATCATCATCACTTTCAGTATCCGCATTGTCAGCGATTAACGGAGCAAACAGATAAGTTATTTACCCATAAAGGACAACAACAACAAATTATTGATTTTCCACCATGTATCACGTCAATGAACTCATCGACATTATCTCCTGCTTTTACAGACCATATGGTAGCACCACAACATAGTAATAATGGTAATGCTAATAATACTAGTTGTAATATCAATACTTATGGATTATTACAAACAAATAAAATGTTTCTTGAAAATGAACATCAGCTCACTACAAACTTAATAAACTATCCAAATGAATTGAACAACTTTCTTCTACCGAATAAATGTCCTACAGTGAATCGTTTCCCGTTAACTGGTATTCATTGAACTGAGTAAGCACTATGGACTGTACTACACACACTGAAAAAGCACACCAGACATAATAATAATGATCATCATAAGATGCAGTTTTTGTTGAAAAATTAATCTTAGCTATATATATAAGTAGTATCTTACCCACCAATATAAAAGAGTAATATGCCAAAGAACTTACTAATCAGTTTTTTTTCTTTTCTTTTATCGTTTTATTTTGCATTCATTCGCTGAAATGGAGAATTTTACGAAGAAAACTTTCTCTCTCTTTCATTGTTTTACCAGCAATACAATTAACTAACTTTATGCTTATTCTAACTGCTGTTATTATCAGTATTATCACCAATGTTATTATTATGATTATTATTACTGATATTCGTACTTGTTACACTCAACTGTGCCTAAATTATCAATGTAACTGACTATTATAACAATAATATCAATAATAATAATAATAGTAACAGTAGTAATAATTCGAATAAAAATAATGAAGGCTATGGCAAATATATGACTAATCGATGAATGTATTTATTCAAATATTATTGATTATTTCGCTCATGAGATCGTTTCATTAAAGGGGAATGTTGAATTACTTCTCTTAGCAAAACAGACAGGAAATATACAGATTACTAAAAACACAAAAGAATTTTTTATAATCATCAGTGGTCGTGGTGGTGCTACCAGTAGTAAAAGTAGTAGTAGTAGTGTGGCGTGTGCTACTGACGACACTTATCAGTAGTATGTAAAGAGACGTTCATCGGCATAAAAATATCAAATAGCGGAGTGATAGATTTGACGTCAAAGAGAAGAAATGACAAATGACGACAAAACTTGCGAGACAGGAAAAGAAGACTAGGAAATAATACGAAGGGCAGAAGTAGCACAACACGGAGGATCTGTGCAAACGACAATTTTAATATATGGTATACATAATTTCCCAATATGGGCATATCAGATTCCATTACCAAGTCTCTTGTTTTGTCCGTTACAGAAGTGATAGAACTCTCCACTGACAATGGCTGTCAGCGACATTGAAATTCGTGAATTGATAGGCCGTTGGATTCCATCCCAGTAGATGGATGGTCAGCGAGCTTGCCTCGTAACCTGAAGGCCCTGCGTTTAATCATCGGTGGAGTTATGGATGAAAACCTACAGCCTAGGAAGAAACAGCTTCCCAGTTTTCTCTGGTTTTTAATGGTTCTTCTGAAAGTTATCAATCCGTGATCAAACTTACGTAGTTATGCTTAATTGTTTGATTGGATGGAGGATTTCATCATGAGCTGACATCAGTTAGAGAACCACTGGAAAACCTGGGAGTACTGGACAGCTGTTTCGTCCTGGTCTGGGACTCCTCGGAAGTACGCATCCACCGGGGTTCGAACCCAGAACATTCTGGTGACAAGGCGAGCTAGCTCGTAGACCATTGAGCCACTGGGACCCAATCCAATGGCCAGCTTATGAATTCTAATTTCTGCCAATTGTTTGTTTCACGGTGGCGCAGACGAATAATAAACAAATGAATAAGTTAGTCTAGTTGGACGTTTGTCACCTCCATCTTTAAAATGCACACAGTCAAAATGACTCAAATTTTTGGTCGGGAACTTTCATTCTGTGTACTTCAATTTTAAATTGCTGTATGAAATCGAAGGCTGAATGAAATGAATATTTGGGATTTGTAGTTTTCAAAAGAATGGATACTGAACAAAGAGTACTCTTTTCGATAACTTCATCATCAGGCTCTACAGTTATATAGACATTATAGTGAGTGAATGAATTAGTGTTATGAACAATCAATAATATCAATAGATTACAGTTCAATAGCATCAACATAAAATAAGCTGAATGTTAGAAAAATTAGGAAAGATAATATTACAACTTCATGAATTTATAGTCTCTACTGAAGGCCAGGGTAGTAGTAGGGGCTGGAAATGCTTCTTTTGCATATAGAGCATTGGTTGTTTGAGGCGAATTGCAATAGCCTCTGCTGTTTGGAGCATGCGGTGCTTCGATGATTTTGGCAATTTATTTGGCACCCGGTAGATTATAGAGAAGGATTCTTCCACGCTGTCTTTGTGGCCGGTTTGCACCAGATGGTCCAATATCGAATTGTTAGTGGTTATAACTACACCTTTACTTAGCCATAGTGGGAGATGTTCTCGAGCACGAAAAATCAAGTCCCTAGAGCAACGGCTAATATAACTCGCTCCACAAGCGCAGTCGATTTGATAGATACAATTTGAAGTGGCTAGTCTAGGTACTTCATCTTTCAGTTGAGGTAGCACCATCGGTTGTGTAGAGAATAAGACGTGTAGTTCACCAGCATTAAAAGTTCTTTGAACTGATTTTCTTAATTTCTTCGTAATTATCTCACTTGGTATATCGCTCTTGAATTGTAGTCGTATATAAAGTGGCTTCTTGTTTACAGATATTGAGTAGTCCTTTTCCGCTTTCCGATTCGTAGTTTTGTAGGGATGTTGATTAATTTAAACAAACTCTTCATCACTGACCGAAATCAGTTTTAGAGTCATTAAAAACCAGACAGCATCAGAAAACTTTCTAAATCTTGTTTGGGACTCTTTGATAGTAATCACTAGTGACTCCGGCAGCCGTCGAAGAAAGAACCTTTATGTCATGAGGTGAGACCGTTGACCATTCAACAACTCGACTGGAATCCGATAACCAGTGAATTCTAACTTCTGCTAGAGTATGATACAAAGCAACCACCCATCACGTCTGACAGGGTGGATCCTACTCAGCCATAACTTCTTATTAAGTCTGAGGTTCAATCCCTGGTAGAGTCCTGGGTGCAAACAGCTGAAGCGTATCGAAACAGGACGAGACAGCTGCCTAATGCTACTTTGTTTTCAATGATTCCTTCAGTTTGTGAAGAAATATACACTGAAGAGGACTGGCTGACAAACGGACTGTACTCATAATCCGATGATACTGTCTAGTCAGATGAGAGTTATCTAAGCACCAGTTGTTATTTGAACAGTTTAAGTGAGTCGGATGAGCCTTTTAAATCGCTCAGATTGATATCACTTAGAACCAGAGTAAACCATGAAAGATAGTAATCACGCAGACAAATGTAAATGAAATTCTTCAACTTACTCAATGAATCCTTACCACGTAAAATAAAAAGCCTTATTCTGTACTGTGCCAGTACTTAAGTAAATAATTTTAATTTTTAAAGTCGATCATCTTCTCAGTAAGTTGGTAATGAAACCTTTTTTGAGCGAAGAAATAATCAGTGACGACATAAGGAATACACATATTTTGTCATCGGAAATTCCCAAACACGACAAACTCATTTGAAACAGTGAGAAGCCAATAACTTCAGATTACAGTGAGAAGTGCTAAATTACAAAACGTCTAGATATCAAACCTCACGTGTCATGAATATTATTTTATAATTCAATGTCTAG